GCTCAGTCAGCTGTGACCATGCACTTGTGACCCGGATGGCCCATGCTTAGAATAGTTTGAATTACCCACAGTAGTCAGTGAACCCTGGCATTTTACTAGGTAGTATGTAGCATCATTGTGGTGTCCCTAACAAGTCTCGATTTGTAGATCACTCTAAAGCCCCACACATTGGGACAGTCTTGATTCATTTGGGGGAAATGCCCAAAGACAAGGTTTCCCTTGCTATTGGACCTCTCGAGTTTAAATCCAGTAATTGAAGCCAGTCAGCAGTTGGCCTCCAGCAATGGCATGCTGTTATTTCCCCTCAGGGTTCTACACTGGCGATGCCTTTCAGGTGAGGAGAGTTTGTTACCCTTTAGCAAAGGATAGGGTGCTGAGGGTAAACTGGGTTCCCCCAGAATGTGTTGGAACCGTAACACATTGTGGATGGAATCCCATCTGGGAGTAAAGTTTTCTTGGTTACATTGAGGTCATGTGCGTGTAGGGTGTGTTAACCCTAGTCAGTTTTGAAAAAGAGCAGATTAGGCTCAGAAGCAAGGAAGCCCAGATGGGAAAACAGTAGACGCCTAGTGGAGATAGCCAAGGAACTGAGGACTCAAAGCTAGGGAACCTGGAACAAGGATTGTCCCCCTGAGTGAACACAGCCTTTCCCTAGAGCCAATGCCCTGAACTGTGAGGACTGGCATTTCACTTTGTTGAATCCACTACTTGTGGTACTTGTGTTACAGCAGCACAAGGGTGCTAAGACACAGGAGAACAGAGAAGACATACCATTACTAACGCTCAGGCCACCTTGCATTGCATAGCTTGAAACAACTGGCTTTGATTATATGTTTTCTGGTTTCTTATTGTTAAGTGACGCCTTCCATGGATGTCTTTAAACCAGATTCTCCAGTGACTTACTCTGTTTTTCAGTACCCTAAAGTGAAGTGCCTTGGGCTGATAGGAAATTTGAAGATTTAGACCTAGGGAGACTGCTAGCTTGGAGAGGGGAGTGGGAAAGAAACTCTACCACATCCTTCCTGAGTAAGGTCACTGGACTCTGATCTGTACACAGGGGGACAGCTAGTCAGTATCCTTACTAATGAGGACATTCACGCTTTCACATATGAAGTCAGCAATGCATGGAGCCAACGCTGGTGGTTCCACGCCAACTGGAGGGGAGGGGAGGGAACTGTCCACTTGGTTTGTCTCGGTCCGTGGGGGACACTGGAACCATCAGTAGTGTTGTCCTCTGAGGGCTTTGAAATGCTCGTCCAATCAAGGCACTCTACTTTTAGCACTCAGCCCCCTATTCCCATGACCCCAAGGCTCCATTTTGTGACACTAGCCCCACAGTCACCTAAGCTGCCTCCGCAGGATGAAGACATACCATTACTAATGCTTTGTGCAAGGCCCTGCCTGTCCCGTTGGCCTCAGGTCACCCCTCACAGACCTTATTTTTGTATGGCTATCTGTCTGCCAGTCAACTTGTGTGTTGTCTGTCTCCCTCACAGGAGCATAAGCCAGCCTGTGCAGGGTTGAGGTGCATGGAGTGAGAAATGTTTGGCCAATTTTCTCCCAAAAGACTTGCCTAGAGCTGAAGTGTTAAGTCAACAAAAGCATTGCCCAACAAGAAAAACAGGCGTGTGTGCTTAACAGGGACATAGAAATAAAAATACTGAAAGGTCTAGGGTGGGGAGAAGCAGTGATTAGGTTAAAGGGTGTGAGACTGTCCCATGGCCACATGCAGAGTATTACTGCAAGATGGCGAAATCCTCAGAAGGGCAAGGATTTTTCAGTCCGTACGTGGCCTTAAGCAGACCGCTGGTACACTTTGATGCTGCCTGGTGTCTGTGGGGCTCTTTGTGTGAGGAAGGGGCTCTGCAGTTCCCTTCCTGGTCCCAGGCCTTGTCTGCACATGGGGACACCATGCAGGGCTTGATTTAAGCCGTTCTGCAGAGAGATGATGTCAGAACAGGATTCTGATCCCACCTTTTATTCTGCTAGAGCTCTCCACAGTTAGAATGGTACATGGGCCTCCACAGTCCCATGAAGGGCATGTGTCTGACAAGGAAACCGTCAGTCCCCACGAGCCAAGGGTGACGCTCTTCAAAGAAAAGGCCAAGTTCTTCCCACCTGTTGAAAAGCTGGACTTGAGTGAACTGAGAAAGTCCAGTGACTCTCCAGAAGACTGGCCGAGTGAGGAAGAAATCCGACGCTTCTGGAAACTGAGGCAGGAGATTGTGGAACATGAGAAGGCCGAGGTCCTGGCCACGCAGCTACTGCCCAGGGCGCTACCGCCCAACCTCCAGGCTGTACTGCAGTCCAAGAGGAAGGAACACCCTCCCTGCAGGCACACTTTCAGGTAAGATTCCAGAACAACGGGCAGTTCTTGCTCTCTGCAAGATTCTCTTATTATTTGTAATTTTCTCGTAAAACTTTGGGTAGGTGTCCACAGTGTTGTTTGTTATGGGGTGAATACCAGCCTTGTGTTCAATAGGGAAGTTACAAAGGCCAAATTTACCCAGGAAAACAGGCTGGAAACAGGCAGGAAACTGTGTGTGGGTGTCTGCATGTATGTGTGAGTGTCTGTGTGTGTGTATATGTCTGTCTCTGTGTCCATGTGTGTATATACCTGTCTCTGTGTGTGTGTCTCTATGTGTCCATATGTGTATGTGTATATATGTCTGTCTCTCTGTGTGTGTACGTGTATTGTGTCTGTGTATATATGTGTGTGTCTAGGTGACTATGTGACTGCATTTATGTTTGTGTCTATGTGTGTTCGTGTCTGTGTGTGTTTATGTTTATGTGTGTCTATGTGTCTTTGTGTTTGTGTGTCTATGTGTCAGCCACAGGGATCCAGGTGAGGAAAGGAAACTCAGACACGCCCAAAGCAGCAGGGC